GGAGGAGTTAGCTTGTTCGTTTGCTTGTTTCGTCTGTTTCTTTCTAGAAGTGTTAGGCGCATACATAGTAGACACCCACTAAAGAGTTGCCACATAAACGACCAGTATCCTGATCTTCAAAATCTACCTACTTTGCCTATTGTTTTATGCATCACGTAAGAGTTACAGCCATTCCTGAGCCTCCACTTACAACCTCCGATAGTCGGAGCATTTTTCTGAAGTGTCACAAGGTGGCAGCATGAGTCTTTCCTTTTGAATGAGTGGCGTGCTAATTTTCCTTGTCTAGAGCAGGCCCTGCAGCAGCTTCTCAAGCCTGCCCATCCCCGGGGCTTTTGGGTTTGCCCCTTCGGTATTAACTGCACTCTTTGCAGCTCTACCATTGAGCTAAAGAGAAGAGTTCTACTTGTAGAGAGGTTAAAAAAAAAAAAAAAAAGCTGATGTGACTCCAAGGTTGCCTCCCAGCAGCCCTGTTTAGTATTCCTGAAGCTCTCTTTCTCTAACAAGGCAATCTCTTGTCTCAGAGACGTGATGTCAAATGACATTGTCATCGTCCCATCCTGTAAGAAACAACAAACCAATTAAAACCTGGTCTCCTAAGAAAAACAAAGCAAGGCCAGTTCTGCAAGGGAGCGGCAAGACCTTCTGGGGGAACCGTGCAAGGCCTTTTGGGGAACCATTGGGAGGATGTGGATGCCTTTGAGTATCTTCCAGAACAAGGCCTTGTGGGATGAAGACAGTCTTGATTTAGAAATGAACAAATCTGGCTTCTAGCAGGGCTTTGGGAATTTCCTCCCCCTCCAATCTAAGCCAAGCTCTCGACTTGGTTTGGGCCTTTCTGAAGTGAGCATAACAATACGTCTCCTGCGTACTGGGGGAAGGGGAGAATTGTTCTGTAAATGACACAGCAGGACAGACTTTGCTCTGTGTGAGCCACTTTAAGAATCCCCTTCACCTTCTCTGTAGGAAACCTGTTCCACCCAGTTGAAGAGGCTTGCCTAGACGTTTCCCTGGGTGAAAAGGGACTAATGAATACTGAAGTTGCGTGTGTTGTAGAAACAGTATTCATTAATGCATTCTTTCTTTTAATCTTTGCAGCTCTGGAGACCAAATTCAAGGCTTAACATTCACCTGTCTATGGTGTCCCAGGTGATTTCAGGTGGTCTTTCATTTTTCAAACCGTTTGAGTCGTCCACAGAAGAAAATGCCGGCCTCCTTCGACAGTTTTGAGGAGAGTGAAGATCGGGCTGATTTGCCTCAGGCCAAACAGCAGAGAGCAGAGCTTCTGACCCAAATCCCTGCTCCATCCTGCTGTGACTAAGGGGAATAAGTGTGGCGTTACCCAGACCATCCCATTCAGTGTTCACAGTAGCAAGCTAGCCAGCTTTGTTAAGTATGGACCAGAGGTGGAGTGCACCAGCTTTGAAGAACCTGGATAGATGGGCACTTTTACCTAATTAGATGTCCTCTGAATTATCACAACATGGGGCTCTGACTTTTTGCATACACAAGTTTATATAGAGGGGCTCTGCCACTTTTTCCCTCAAATGCATACCTGTTTTTCCAATAAATAAATAAATAAAAATGATTAATTAGCTACCCGGGGTTAAATATGGTCAAGTAGATACTAGGGGTTAAAAGAGAAAGATGGACAGAAAGAAAGTTATGAGGTAAGGGGAGGTCCTAGAAATGAGGGCTATTAAACCTCTTGGGAGGGAGGTTATTTAAGAGTGACGCTGTTGTTGCCACGCGTAGTAAGAAACTCTTAAAAAGGCCTTCAGCCCTGCTGATGTGATAGCTTTACACAGCCAGGCCAGTGAACTGGCTGTCATTTTAATGTGTGAGTTTGGGTAAGCTATGTTTACCAGGAATTTTAATTACTTAATGACTTTGAAATGACACCACTGTAAGCTATCATCAAGTTGGTTTCACTGCGTTTTATTTGTGGTGGTGAGATGGTTCCACTGTCAGGTTTAAGGCTGTAGAGATGGAGGGCAAGCGGGGGAAGGGAGGAACCAGAATGAGAATAAAGTAAAGAGGCCTTCAGACTTATATATCTGGCTAGGCATATTTATATCAAATTACCTAGAAGAATTAGATCGACACTATGTTTTATGACTTGTTCAAGTCAATTTTAATGAGTGTTTCAAAGATTCTGTTCCCCCCCAAAGCTATCCAAATATAATCTTGTTTGCATAGAACTGCACGCATCAATTAGCTCCACGATCTTTTAGTTAGGAAAAGTAATGGCCCACAAAGCCCTGTAAATGGAAGTAGAGAGCTTTTACTTAAACACCCATGTATCATCTTTTTCATCTGCTTTTGGGATAACAGATTTTTATCTTTCTTAATAAGTCATTGAACTTAAGTCAGAGAACCTTAACAGATAATAGTTTCCTTGAACCGAAGCTGGTGTGGACTGAAGTTAATCAGTCTGGGTAATTTGGAGAAACAGCCATGTTGTTCTAGCAATTATTCCACCGGACAATGAGAGAAGTTTGGCTTTGAAAAGGCGTTTGTTCTCAATGCGACTCATCTTCCAGATGGAGGAGCAGGTCGGGGGTATAAAAGAAGATAACCCAACTTCACTGAGCTCTTAGGAGCGGTGGCTGTCAACACTGCTTCTTCAGCTCTCCTAGACAGGCCTTGGGGTCCGGGCCTTGGAGAAGCAAACTGTGCCCCCTCTCAAAAAGTGAAATAAGATAGACTGCGAAATGGGGGCCCAGATCCTTTGGGGGCCCAAGCAGGGGGGAAAGGTTAGAGAAGGCTGCAGAAGGTTTGCAGAAGCGGCCTTTCTTTTTTTCTTTTTTCTTTTTCTTTTTTTCTTTTGGTTTTTTCGAGACAGGGGTTCTCTGTGGTTTTGGAGCCTGTCCTGGAACTAGCTCTTGTAGACCAGGCTGGTCTCGAACTCACAGAGATCCACCTGCCTCTGCCTCCCAAGTGCTGGGATTAAAGGCGTGCACCACCACCGACCGGCTTTTCTTTTCAGATTGGAATTCCCAGGTGTGGCGACTTTGGGTTTCAAGGAGGGCTAAGGCTGTGAGGAGGGTTGGGTGGGCAGGAAAAGACACTGGTGCCCCGAATTCCTTTTAGAATGCTATAAATTATGACAGCGTCGTTGCTGCTGTTTTAGCAGGCTAGAGACTATGCTGCTTCTTCTGAAAGGGGAGTTAAGGGAACTTTTCTTAGCTGCCAGGGGCTTTTGCCTGCTCTCCTTTGAATGGGGATATTGCCTCTGATTGGCAGCTGACATGTCCGCACCCAGGGTTCCTTGGTGCAGCTTGCTCTCGCCACTGTTAACCAGTTCCAATCTGAGGTTCATTCAGCAGGCCTCAAACCCTGGCCGCTAAAGAGAGTCAGTGAGGATAATGCTTTATATAAAAGACTAGTTTTTGGTAACAGGTGCCAAATTATACTGAGGTGAGTATTACAAGGTGACCTAAACAAAATATTGATGGTGAAATTAATTCTGCCCAAGAATCAAGTCAGGGGCACAGAGAGGAGGTGAAAGCGGAGGGACGGTTTGTTCGTTAGGGGGAGGAAGGTCTACAGTGGAGGCAGAGGCCTAGGACAGCGGGGGGGGGGGGGGGGGGGGGGGGGGGGGGGGGGGGGGGGGGGGGGGGGGTGCATTGAAAGGAATATTCAAGATGGCTGGAGATGGTATATAGATAGGCTTATGGAATGATCCAGGAAGGTGGTCAACCAACGATTTGTACTATGTATCCAAAAGCTCGAACCCAGAGCTGGAGAGATGGCTCAGTGATTAAGAGCAATGAGTGTTCTTGTTGAGGACCCCAGTTGGGTTCCCAGCACCCACAGTGCTTCACATTCACCTGTAGCCCCAGTTCTAGGGGATCCGACACCTCTGATGCCCTCTGTGGGTGCTGCGTGCACATGGTGCACACACGTGCATGTAGGGAAAACACTAATGCATACAGAATAAACAAATCTTTCTAAAAAGCTAGAACCAACTGCTTTTTAATCCCAGCTCTTGGGAGGAAGGTGCAGTGAGTTCAAATGACTGGTTCCAGGATAACCAAGGTTATGTGGGGAAACCCTGTTTCAAAAAAAAAAAAAGCTAGAACCATTTCCATGTGTGTATTATAAATTATAAAGACCCCTGGAAGGAATGTACATTTGCACACTGTGTGTGCTATGGCGAAAAACGCATAATCAACTTTATGAGAGCATCCAAGGGAAAACATTAGATTCCTTGAAAGTCAAGGCCAAGAACACCCTTACTGCTCCTGGAGTTCCCCAGGATGGGACAGGTACACTGAAGGCTAGCTGGATTAGCAACGGGGTGCACCGACGGACCTGGATTTGCGATTCCCACATTCAGGGATAAAAGTATCGGCTCAATTTACGGAGCTCTTCTGAGGTACAAGTGCTATTCTAGAAGCGTACGTGGATTAGCAATTATATCCCCACGGCGGCTGCTTGGGGAGAGACACTTAGTGTTCACAGTTTACTCCCGGGGAAACTGAGGCACAGAGACAAAGCAGGGGGTCTAGAACAGGGGTTCTGACTCCGGAGTCTTTTACATCATATTATCTTATGAACCTAGCACAACTATCCCGTGCTGAGTGTTAAAACCAAAACAACAAACCCAGCTTTCCTTGAAAATTGTATTTTTAGGATAATCCCATTCAAGGCTGAAACTCGTAAATAAATAAAAATGCATTTTGGTATTACAGACCTCCCACTGCGCCCCCTACCTAATCCAAGGCCAGCATGAAAATATTTCTTTTTATTTATATATGTTTTCCTTTTGTGACACTTTGGAGTTTCTGAACGCTAGGGGCTCCCGGATTCTCTGGTTTGAGAGCAACTTTTTCGTTTGGGTTTTTTTTTTTTTTTTTTTTTTTTTTGGAAAGGGGGTGGGGGAAATGTGGCCTTAATTATCCTACGTTTTAGGCAGCTTAAGGAAGGGGCTGTGCTTTCAGAATCCTGTCGAAGCCAAGTAAGGAGGTCCTTCTCCTCCCCCCTCGCTTTTTTAAGGAGCTCGTGAAATATAAGCTCAGAAAACAAACCGAGCGATCACAGCAGCAGCCCGGGCGGCGGCAGCAGCAGCAGCAGGAGGAGGAGCAGGAGGAGGAGGCAGAGTTGGCGTTGGGCAGACGCTGCCGAGAGCTGCAGGACGCGGCGGAGTTGCAGGACTCCGCGCCGCTCCATTCATTAAGTAGCTGCGGAGGACTGTGGCGGGACGCCGACGCTGCCCACTCGCAAACTTCAGCACGCAGACGCACGCCAGCCGTGCGCTTCCCGGGCAGCGCAGCGCTGCAAAAGTTCCTGCTCGGGATTTGGCTCTCTTCCCCTTGGACTAGCGAACAGTTTGGGCTTGAGAGGAAAGCAGAGGCGCCTAGAGGGGAAACCTATCCGCGCCTGCAGTTGGAACTACTCGGCCGCCGCGTCCCGAGCCCGCAGTTCCGCTCCTGAGCAGCGGCGGCCCGCAGCGTCCCGGGAAGCTCTCCGCTGCCAGCGCCATGCAAAACTACAAGTACGACAAGGCGATCGTCCCCGAGAGTAAGAACGGCGGCAGCCCCGCGCTCAACAACAACCCGAGGAAGGGCGGCAGCAAGCGGGTGTTGCTCATCTGCCTCGACCTCTTCTGCCTCTTCATGGGTGAGCGCAGCCCCACTGGTCACCCCCCTCCTAGCCCGGGGCCCCGCCGCGCTGTCAGCCCCGGAGGCCCGCAAGCCATCCTCCGGGCGCCGTGCTAGCCGCGAGCTCCCCGCCCTCCCGGACCCCCAATCCCAGACCTGCGAACACAAGTTGGGGCGTGCTTGTGCATTCGCGGCAGCTGGAAAGTGCTCCTTAGGGGTAATCTCTAGTTGGGAGCCGGACACAGTCCCTCGGAAGGTGTGAGCTCGAGCTCCACGATCTGGAGGCAGCCTGTGGCTCTCCTCCCAGCATCCGAGTCTGTGCGAGACCTATCTAGGTCTCTGGGCGAGCCGGGCTCCTATGGTAGTGGCACTGCTGGTCCCGGCTGCATGTAAACATCCACCCCTTCCGTCGCTCTGTCTTGCAGGGCCAGTCGCACAAGCTGGCCGTGTCACTCGCTGCTCGCTAGACTGAAAGCCCCCGGGGAGGGAGGGCGACCGGATTGGGCTCTTCCCAGCCGGGTCTTGAGCACCGAGGAGCACGTCACTTGTTGAGCGCCTACTGTATGCTAGGTGGTTGGTAGCTTCGCGGGCATCAGTTTTAAACCAGCTCACTCCCTGATTTGTGCAGGCAGGGGCTAGGAGTTGGGTTCACCCAGAAGGCCACTGAGGGAAAGCTAGCCATGGTCTTGCTTGGGGATTAAAGTTGAACTGCACTCCCTCAAAGTTGAGGCGCTAGCGCACGTCTGTTTCTGCAGAACAGATGTAAACTCCAGCTGGAAGGGTGGTGGGATTCAAAGGAGGTGGGGGGGGGATTTATTGAACCAGGCTCGGGGGAGAGAAACGACGCGAATCCACCGTAGGAGTAAAAATAGGACTTTTTTTTTTTCTCTTAAGCGAATTTTGATGTAAACCAAAGTGTGCAAAACTTGTCACCAAAGCCTTGCCCCTCTGCCTCTAGATGGATGTGCCACCTCAATGCCCCCTTGGCCTCAGTTTCCCCCTCAGTTGAGTGAGTGGGTTCAAGTAGATGGTCTGTGAGGCCCCTTCCTGCATTAAGAACTCGGATGCCGTCCAGGAGCTGTTCTGCCAACACTGCTAACTGAAGAAACATCTGTGTTCCCCGTCCAGCTCCCCACAAATAGAACTCCTGCATGGAGGCTCCGGTCCCCTTGGAAGGGAATTATTCCGCAGATTGTACCACCCTGGGTTTGCTGCCTTGTCTAGGACTCTTAGGCGCTGACCTCTTGCTCTTGCCCAACTACCCTCCGAGAATTTTGTGAGCCGGTGGCTTTCTTAGAATTTAAAATTAAGTATGGCCCTCTTCAGACTGAGGCGGTTGAAAGTAAGATTGCAGTCCGTGAAAGGGAAGGGAGCTTGTAGTTACTGTGGATCCCCTTCCCGGCTCAGTGATGCTAAGTAGAGTTGCTGTCACCGGCTGGCCTACCTTCCTGGTGGCAAGCAGGCTTATTAGAATGCAGAGGGAGAGAGATGAATTGTTGAGTTTTTTAGGATCCTCCCAGGTTGGGGGGGGGGGACTGTGCGGGGGAGAGGGGATAATACGGCCAAAGTACTGAAAAGGTTGAAGCTGTCTGTGTGCTACAAACTTGTCTGAGTTCTCCTGGGGTTTGAGTGTGTCCTCGGGAGGTGGGATTAGCGCTTTCACTGCAGGAGGAGAAAAGCCCCCTGCCTCTGCTTTAGCATTAGGAAAGCTGGATCCCCTCCCCCCATGTGTTCCTTGCTCTAGCATCTGCACACTCTTCTGGCCCAGCCAGAAGGGGGGGTTGCTCTCAGAGATGCTGCATTCTTAGAAAAACCAGTGTTGAGCCATGTGCAGAGAGCAATATCTGTCAACTATAGTGTAAGCAGGGGCAATGACACCCCGATATGCTTTCCTGTGTATTGAGGGTGGAATGAAAGGGTGTGTGGTGTCTGTGCCCATCTCTCCAGAGAGAAAATCCCAAACCAGTTGTCCAACTTAAACATACGCACCAACTATATTTCAGCATCACTGGTTAAATAGCTCCTAACACCGCTCATTGGAAAAACTATCTGAAAGATTACCACGTATCTTGAGGTGGTTATGCAACATAACTCTGGCTTCCAAAAGAAGACTTAATAATACAACATGTGATTCTAATATTCTACACACTGCAATCCTAAAAAAAAATGTTTCTACTTGGTTCAGTTTTTTTTGCCCAAGACTGTCAGTATGATTTAATTTTTCTACAGCTTATTGATCATATGGTCTGCATTACAGGGTACTAATATATTAGGAAGAAAGACAGTTTTCTGTTTATTCTCCCATAGGAATATTGACCAAGCTTCGTCTCCTAGTATCTGGAAAAACTAAAAGCTGATGTGCTCTGTGCCTGTTGTGCAAGTGGAAATATGCAAGGCGTTTAACTTGCTTCAGATACCTTCTCAGAATGTTAAAATTCTGGGCGAAAACCAAAAAGTCCACTCTTGTTTGAAGGTCAAAAGAATGTGACGGCTGAGAACCCCTGCCGGGAGCTTACCCCCCCNNCCCCCCCCCCCCCCCCCCCCCCCCCCCCCCCCCCCCCCCCCGTCAACAGTTACCTTTGTCCATTGATTGCTTTTAAATACAATTGCAAATCTTTGCATGGTAGATTTTCTGAAGTCTCTTTTGCTTTTGTTTCAATTAAGCACTCCCTTATGACCTTTTTTTTTTCTTCTTCACATTAGTTCTGGTGTATGGAGTTCCAGGAGACCCACAGAGATTTCTTTCCTATTGTCTAAGTTTTTTGTTCGTCTCTTGAAAACATAAATCATTTAATATGCTTTTCCCTGTACCACCTAGAAAGCCATCTCCGTGGTATAGACCAGAAAAAGTTCCTATCACGGTAGGAAGAACAGATTATCAAAGACTAGATCGTCCCCAATTCTCAGTGGGCGGAAGTGGAGTTCTTTATCCCATTTGGAGATTGCTGAAGTTCAGGCCCCACGAAAATCTTCTAGCTCGGTTGCAGAGCAGCCTGCCTCTTAATCCTCATTGCGTTTCCAGGTATCCTTTTGGACCAAAGCAGGAGGATAAATGATGTCTAACTCTTCGGTCAGCAATACAGAACGGGGTGGTCAACAACCACACCATTCAATCTGGCTCCTCTAAAATGTTGACAGTTTTGATTTGCAACAGCTGGGATAAGAACCTTAGAGCTGGTTCCATATGTGGTATACATAGTTTCACTGTTACTGTTCGCATAGTATTCATGATTACTGTTGCACTGTTGATGATGAGAGGGGCAGGGGGTGTAGAGAACAGAATGGAACCCTGCCACATAGAAGCCAAGGTTTCTTAGGTGGTGGCTGGCTGATCCCAAATCTAGTTGCGTGTTGGTAGACACACTGATTTTTCATGAACTTTACATTTTCCCCCCTGCAAAATGACTTGTTTAGTGGGATTATGTCTAAATTCCCGGGTCACCATTGAATACTCTGGGATCCAAATCTCACAGAGAGGAAAAACAGATGGTTTTTCGAGACAGGGTTTCTCTGTGTCACTTCATTGCCTGCCCTGGAACTAACTCTTGTAGACCAGGCTGGCCTTGAACTCAGAGAACCTCCTGTCTCTGCCTCCCAAGTGCTGGAATTAAAGGCGTGTGCCACCACTGCCCGGCTTCACATTTTGGCATTTTCTAGGGACTGTTGAAAAAAAAAAAAAAAAAAAAAGGAGCCCAGAGGTCTGAGGTTCCGATCTTGTATTAACTTGTCACTGTGTGGTTTGGGCAAATTCACTTGAACTTTCTGTGTAAGGATTTCTTTCTATGACCGCAAAGGAGAGAAGCTAGATCACCTTAAACTGACTCTTCACAGTTTTGTGACTATGCCGGCAGATAGGCTGGAAGACCCTCAGATCTGACCGAAGAAATAATGAAGAAAATTAGCCTAACTTGGTGTTAACTGGAAGGTTCCCCTCCTCTTGGCTGCATGGGTCCTTTGACCTGCTTTCTGGAATTCATAGTAATCAAAAGCACACAAGTAAACAAGCCCAGCCCAGGCCTCTCTTGTTCTTGTGGCTCTGTTATTGTGTTTACTGCCGTTTGAAATCACTCAATGAAGCAGTCTTGGTTTTGATAACTTAATGTACCATGGAGCCACAGAATATAGGAACAAATTTTCCTCGAATCCGCTGTTGAGCCACCCAGCCAACTATCTTGCATGCATTGCAACAAACATGAGGGTAGCCTGCGCTTCGTCAGTTAGACACGGCTGGCTTTTCCAGGACGGTGGAAAACCTATGTCCTTATTGTCCAAAATTGCCGCCCACTTGTACTACCCATTTTCTTTTCCTTAAAGTTTCCTTAAGAGACACCTTGGAGGTAGCTGCCTGGGTGGGAGATCTCCAAAATGGCAGTTGGTGGCCCTTCTATTTATAGCCCTTTGCACGCCTGTCGATTTGAGATTTGTTGTCCCTTCCTCTGCAGTTGTCTTGGTTGGCAAAGCCCAGTTGGTCACAGCGTGATGCTGATGACACCGTAGTCAAGGCTTCCTCTCTGTGTAGGTAGTAATATTTTGGGAGAAGCCCCACCTCTCTAGTCAGTTTGGCTCTGTACAGCATCGAGAGGAATCTTTAATGTGGGTAGGGTCCCTTACGTCCTTGTTTAATCAACTCACCTGATGCGAGAACCAGCTGGTGTGAGATACAAATTCTACATTTCCCCAGGGGCTTTGGGCAGGCCCTGGGATCCTGTATTTTTATAAAATCCTTGGCTGATTTTTATCAAGCCACTTTTAGAATCACTGTGTTGTGTAACAACTCGATGTCTTAAGGGCGGTTGAATTATGCAGTGGGCCTTTTTGTCCCTGCACTGAACGTTCCAGCACTTTCTGCATTGTTAGCTGTGTTTTGGGTTTGTTGTTGACCATGCTTCTGTCTCTTCTGAGACGTGGAATTGGTGTGTGAGGGAAAGGTGAACCGGGCGTACATGAGATTGCTAAGTAGAGGCTTAAAAAGCTCCAAGTTAATTTGACAGAGTCTTGGGAAAACAGGCAGGTTGCAGA